GAAGAGAGAGGGGAGAGAGAGGGGATGAGGAGAGAGAGGGGATAGAGAGGGAGAGAGAGGGAGAGGGGAGAGAGAGGGGAGAGAGAGGGGAGAGGAGAGAGAGAGGGAGATGGAGGGAGAGAGACGAGGGGGAGAGAGAGGGGGAGAGAGAGGGGAGAGAGAGAGAGAGAAGAGGGAGGAGAGAGGAGGAGGGGAGAGAGGAGAGAGAGGGGAGAGAGAGGGAGAGAGCGAGAGAGGTGGAGAGAGAGAGGAGAGAGAGAGGGGAGAGAGAGAGGAGAGAGAGAGAGGGGGGAGAGAGGGGGGAGAGAGGGGGGAGAGAAAGAGCACACAGACACACACATTCACATACACATACACAAGAGTGAACAATGCCTTAACAATAATGACAAACATTCTGACATTCAGGAATGAAAATATGTTTTCTTTAAGATCTTTCCATCTATTGAAGAAATAAAATCTGCAAGTTAAAGTACACAATATCAAGCATCAATAAAAAAGGTGTGAGATCCACAGGAACCATGGCAGCACAATAATTTCAATTAGGGTGTTATCATAGGTTCGGTTCTTTAGATTATTGTAAGGAAAAGGTAGAAAAATGAAAGTGTTTCTTACCAGTCAAAAGTAATACTATATTCAAATTTACTCATTTCATCACTTTTAATGATATTGTTTTTGGTTGTGGTATTGACATTTTCTGCTTACTAGTGTTTTTACTTTATATACATAGTATAGGGAAAGTAATGAAATTCTGCGGAAAATTGATTAAGAGATTTCAACGGAAATACATGTTTTGGGGTGCCCAAATACCGAGAGAAAGGTATTTTTTCAAAATGTTCTGTTCGACCATCCAATGTCTGTGAACACTACTAGCGCCTAAACCATGAGTAAGATTTTCTCCAAATTGAAGAAACCCCTGTCCAAACTTTAGTTTTTGGTAAACTTTCTTTAAAATGTGAGGGTACTTTACATGAAGCCCTCCGGACGTTATTAAAATTTTCTCAAAAAACAGTTCCAAATTTTTTCTTTGAGTAACATACACTTATAAAAGTGGAATAGGTCAAATTTTAACGGTAAACTCTGAATTTTCGAAAAATTTAAAAGTATGAATTTTTTTCAGTGCCTTGCTACAACCACAAAATTGAAGATAGAGATTTTTATTTCAAATAAAATTTGTTGTCCATAATTAGTTCTTTTATTCAAGTCAAGTACATTTTGTTGAAAATTGTTTGCACAATATAATGTGCAATATTTGCAATTTAAAAAGATAACAAAAAGAGGATTTTTTCACAAACTACTCCAAATTTTTTCTTTACACATTTGGAAGGGATAGTACTAAATTCACTCTATAAGATAAGATAAACACCATATTACTCTGTGCTTTTTTTTTTTTAATTACAAAAATTGTCATTTTTTGACTTTTCTCTAACCGTTGTTAATATTTACATTAGCGGCAATTTCTTTATATAATGTATTTATGAGCACATGTGCTTTAAATAATATTATATAGACTTTTTAAAACTCAACAGTTTTCCATGAAAATTAGTTCAAAATTCCTCATTTTCAGAAACACTAAAATGCCATTTTCTCAAAACAAATTTTTCTTGAATCTTTTTGAAAGGATAATGCTAATTACACTCTTTAATACGATGTAAAAATCATTCCGAGGATTTTTTTTGTTTTTTTAAAAATTACATTAGTATAATTTTTTTAAAATATTTCTCACAGCTTTAATATTTTCATCTCCGATTTGTATATATATTTTTGCATTTGCCACTGGAAGTACTTGAAATGACTTTCCATGAAGTTTTTCAGAAAACAATAGTTTTTCTGTGAAAAGAAATTCAAACTTCTCATTTACAGTAGCGCTTCAATGCCATTCTCTTAAAAACTGCTCAAATTTTTTCAAAGAAAATCGCTATTTATGGTGAGTTTTAACTGTTCTTTAATATTCTTAAATAATATTTCCATTCTACTATTAGAAGACTGAAAAAAAAGAAAAGAAAAAGTACTTTGGGGAGCAATAGATGGCAACTGGCATGAGTTCAAGTAGCTAGCCAAGACCTCAAGGAAATAGAAAACTAATACGGGAAAGTCTGTGCCATTCTGAAGTAGCATTAGTGTTGATTTTTTGGAATAAATTGGATAAGATTGGAATAAATTTCATTATCTGATCAGTAGAAAATTAAATCTCACACAAATTTCCATTGCAGTTTTTTAATAAGACAAAGCTATTTGGCTCACATTGCATCCATTTTCCATGCAATCTGTGGTGTCAACATAGAGAAAAGGAGTTTGTTTCTCTACCTGCCACAAATTACACTGAACATGGCTGACAAAACCCCTTTAAATATTATTAAAAATGTATTTGAGTTTTCATTTGCTTACTACTGGCAAAACTTATGTGCCTTCTTGTGCTCATTACTCATAAATATGTAACATACTGTACTTTGGGATTGGCAATTGGGTGGCATGTCTATGTTTCCATGATGATTGTAGCTACTGAGCCAATTGGGTAAGAGTTAACATAGCCCTCATCGACCTGCTTTGCAGAATGTAAGAAGGAATATAAACCCCACATACACAATTGCACAATTGAAGGAATAATTGGATTTTGGGTGTGGGTCATTGGACACAGCGTCTTGGGCTTGAATGAAATATATGAGCTTGATAGACTATAAACAATGATGAAGGTATCTCAGGGTAGATATACCCTGATACTCACAAGAGAGAGCTTATGTTTGAGGGAATAACATGTGCTTGCTAGCTGTCAATACCAAAGAAAGATCTCCCTAAGCATAACTGCAAACTCTCTGGATCTTATGTTTCACTAGTACATATAATTACCGTTTTGGATATGATTTTATAAATTTATTTGACTCTTAAATATTTATATTTGTTCACACAAATATATTTAATACTTTACCTAATAATGTGTTCTGGGCATGGCTGTCAAGAATCCACTGTTCAGAAACAACATACTGGCAGACTGAGAGGGCACACAGCAGTTTGATGGTACGGTTCAGTTGAGGCATCACAAAGTGTGTTGCATCTCGCTTCCTAGCAGCCAATGCACACCCCAACTGGCGAGCCTTCTGTAATCAATTAATCAGACATATTGAGCAAAGCAATTTAATAGACTTAAATTGTTCAGCCAGGGGAGTGAACCATAGGTATAGGTGCACACCCTCACTTCAATCTGCAATGAAACTAGAAGTTAAGGGGTGTCATCAACACTCTAAACTTTAAGAGGGTTGTAAGTCGCTAAGTAAGTAACATTTTTGGGTGAAAATACCATGGTTGAATATACGAATGAAAAGTCAATGAATACATTAAGTGTATGGATATTTTACAACACACCATGTGTCGTATTTATTAAGAACGTTTATATGACAGTAGAAGTGTCATTTTCTGCAATAATTGCAGCACACCTAACAATCACTGTTTTACCACATGGCACACACTGATGCCTCTGACATGATAAGGATAATCACATCAATTTAACAGTAAAGGATTCTAACAGAACTTCAATTTCTTGGTGATCTGGCAAGTCACCAATCTGAACTGACTGAAGTTTTGGATGCAGAAGCAGATCTTTCCGTAAAATTGTGTGAATGGTGCGTTTTCCAATGCCACTTTCTCCTTCTGATTTAAGTTAGCATCTTATCTTGTCTCCATCCAGCAGGTGCATGATTACTCCACGTGACATCAGTCTTTGCATTCGTATGTCAAGTTGCTCGTTGTAGATTGCTTGATGACCTCACTGAAACTCTTCGACCCCCACCGTTGCTTACTACTGGCTGACTGACTGTCCAGTATAGAAGGTCATTAATACCAACAGCTTCCAATTCAATTGCCTGAGGCATTTCTCCCATTAGGATAGCAATTTTGACATACACACACTGTACAACAGTTACATCCATCCTGGTATGTGGCAGCCTTACCACTGACTCCATTTTCTTTTCTGTACAGAGCAATCTGGTGTTGTGAATATACACTACAACAGTGTCTTCAATGTAAGAAAATGACATGTGTGATAAAACAACATTTCTTAAAATTGAAAACACAACAATCAATAATAATAATAACAATAGTTGCCATGACTTATGCCCCAACCTTTGTATTACTTTTAAAGTAGAAAAGCAAAAGAACTAAATACAAAGTGATGACTTCACCTGCAGAAACTATCCAAAACTGTGTTTACATCTATATGACAAACAACATTCATAGTTCAGAAACAACTGTTGCTCTCTTTTAACACCAATTCTCAGAATGTTAAACTTGTGCATATCAAGAAAATTGGGATTTCTTTCTGGAGAAGCATGTAAGACAGTTCAACATATCATAAAAGAAAATGCTGACTTTGCTAGTCTTCTTAAATTAACAAATTTCGCTAAGAAACCTGTATTAATTTAATTAAAAAGTTTTGCTAACTTGACAAAATAATTTCTCAAAAATGCTTCCATCAATTCAATACCCAGAAGATGGTGTAGAGTTTATGCAGGTGAAATGAAACACCCTTACCCAAGTAAATGAGAGTTAGGTGTTTAACTGAGAGGAACGCATGAGAGCACATAACATAAAATGTGTACTGGTGTTAGCAAATTCTCCGGTAAACACAAACAGAATTTGTTGCAAAAATAGTGACCAGTTGTCTTTGAAAGGAGATCCATTTGCCTCTAAGACGAGAGCTCACCCGCGGCAGGTCGGCGGCGACACCGGCGGAAAACATGACGACGGGGCGCCGGTCGGGCGCGGGCGGGAGCTGGTTGGTGAGCGGCACATCGTCTAGCAGCAGCAGCGCCTGGTTCTCCTGGTCGCGCGCCGCGGCGGCCGCGGCGGCGCGGGCGGCGGCGGCCGAGGGGTCGAGGCGCGCGCG